CACACGCGCGCGTGTGCGCGCGCAGGTAAGCATACAGAAGCCCAGTAAGCCATGAAGACATGCTCAGTGTCAGTTGATCAGTTGGCGGGAACACGCACATGAGAAACAACCTCACACCTACCGGGATAGGTATTATCAGAGACACATCACAAGTGTTGAGAATGTAAAGAAACTGGAACCCTGAGCCTCTGCTTGTGGCAATGTAAATGGTGTAGCCACTTTAGAAAAGTCTGGCAGTTCATCAAAAAGTCAAACAGGCCAGGAGTTGGGGATGCAGCTCAGCGGCGCTTCACCTGCCTGGCAAGCACAAGTCCTGAGTTCGATTTCCGGCATGGCGGGTAGGCAGTCAAACAGGCCAGGTGCAGTGGCACACATTTGTAAACCTGGCACTCTGGGAGGGTGAGGCAGGAGGACCAACCAGTATCACAAACATTAGGTTACCATGTGGCTCAGCAATCTCACTGTTAGGTATCTATCCAAGAAAAAGGTAAACACAAGCTCACACAAAAACCCGTGTTCACACAAATGTACACAGCTGCATTATTCATGACAGCCTGAAATGTGGAAACAACCCAAATGCCCATCAGCTAATGAATGGACAAATAAAGTGTGTTACAGCCACACAATAGACATTCAGCCATAAAAAGAAATTAAATGTGGGCCAGGGCCGCGCGTGGTGGCGCACACCTGTAATCCCAGCACTCGGGAGGCTGAGGCAGGAGGATCGCTGTGAGTTCGAGACCAGCCTGGGCTACACAGTGAGTTCCAGGTCAGTCTCAACTACACAGTGAGACCCTGTCTCAAACCGCCCGCCCCTCAAAAAAATGTGGGCCAGGGATTTAGCTCCGTGATGCTGCCACCTTCCTCTCAAGCATAAAATCCCAAGTTTGATCCTGGGCACGCGCGCGCGCGTGCACACACACACACACACACACACACACAAAAGAAAAAAAACTATTCAATATGAATATACACTACAACTTGAAAAGACAGGAGTCAGTCACCAAATTCCACACGTTCTATGACTGTTTCCTTGAAATGTCCCGAATGGACAAACCAATGGATGGAAAGTGGGTTAGGGTCTCCGAGGACCGGGTGGGAGGGTGGAGAGGGACTGCTAATGGGCCCAAGCTTTCTCCTGGGCCGCCCAACGTGTTCTAAGGGAGACTCTGGTGATGGAGCTATGGAGGGCTGCCGGATTGTGTACTGTAAGTGCAGGAATGGCACATGAATCCACCCCCCGCCCGTACTGGCATCAACTCGGAGCCTTGCATTTGTGAGGCAGGCGGTGGAACCACTGAGCTAAATCCCCAGCCCGGCCCTATTTATTTTAATACAACATTGCTTGTTTGTTTTGGCACTGGGGATTGAACTCAGGACCTTGTGCTTGTGAGACAGGAGTGGGGTCAGTGTCACTGAGTTAAATCCCTGGCCCTTAATACTTTTTCTGAATGAAATTTCTCTCACATGCAGTGCCTAGAACTCACTTAAAATAGTAATTTGGTACACACTGAAGATATACATACAATATATATAGTCACCGATTTTCAGTCACATATTTCATTTTAAAAAAAATAAAAATGATTACTCAAGGTGAACAAATTTCAAGCTGACAAGGACAGACAGGTTTATTTATTTTTTGGAGACAGGGTCTCACTATATAATCCAGGCTGGTCTTGAACTCACTACATAGCCCAGGCTGGCCTTGTACTCATGGAGATCCTCCTGCCTCAGCCTCCCTGAGTACTGAGATTAAAGGCATGCACCACTACACCAGCCTATTGACAGACCATTTTTTACTAATGGTAAAGAACTAAAAGTAATGCTTTAGGGCAATAAATTCACCAGGCACTCAAAAATCAAACATGTCTCTCATCCATTTAATTTACCTAAATTTTAGCATTAGTGACCAGAGAAATATTCTTTCATTTGATTTGTGTTTTATTTTATTTACACAGTGAAGTGTATGCACATTCTCCAAAGTGTAATATCATTTTTGGGTTTTCTTTTCTTTTCTTTCTTTTTTTTTTCTTTCTTTTTTTTTTTTTTGGTACAAGGGATAGAACTCCGGTCCTTGCGCTTGTGAAGCAGGTGGTAGAACCACTGAGCTAAATCCCTGGCCCCATGAGATAATTTTTTTGGAGGTGGGTTTGAGACAGGGTCTCACTGTATAGTTGAGACTGACCTGGAACTCACTATGTAGCCCAGGCTGGTCTTGAACTCACAGCAATCCTCCTGCTTCAGCCTCCCGAGTGCTGGGATTACTGTGTGCACCACCACGCCTGGCCCCATGATATCATTTTGAACATTAATAAATCTGGCCTAAAAATATAATCTCCAAAGTTTGGTAACATTTTAGACTAAAATTTTATAGTTATTTTTCTTCATTTTTCCTCCAGTATGTCCAGAACAGTCACTTACTTTACAGTTGTTAAACAAGCCTCACTGGTAACAATCAACTTATAATTAGTACAAAAAATATGAAGTTAATTTAGCTTTGAATCTGACCATGTAGTTTTGGGTTATAATGAAGCTTTCTTGGGCATTTCCTCTGACAATTACTTAATGTAAACTTACAGGTGTTTGACTCAGGATAAAGCTGTCCTATGATTAATAAGACACAACGCTTGCACTGGTCCCAGAGTCTCCTCCAGGTAGGGAAAAGCACCAGGTAAAAAGACAATTACGATGTAATGTGAGAAGCACTATCTATAATGCAGGTTTGTACAAAGCACCATCCCTGTTGTCTGCCTGTAATCAGGCCTTGCCAGATAAGTATCAGTGTCTATTACAAGCTTCCGAAGCCCAATACCCACTCCCTGACTGGTATCACCTTTCAGTACTGCGCCATCCCCTGCGTCTTGGCCCTTTCTGATGAGCCTGCCTGGAGACAGACAAGGCTGATCGGGCTATGGTGTCCCGTCAAGGCAAACTTGATCAAATACTACGCAAAGCAATCTTCAATCTCATTGAGGCTTTATTCATCTGAAGTCTTGTGCTCACTGAGTGCCTTAGTCTTTCTCTTCAGAAGAAATGTTAACTTTAAAAGTTCTCCAAGAACTTTGGCTTTGTGAAAAAATAGTAAGCCTAGTTCTCCGAAATGAAAGAAAATCTGCTAGCCTTGAACTCACAATGATCCTCCTGCCTCAGCCTCCCAAGTGCCACAAGTGCTGGGGTTACAGGCATACACCACCATGCCTGGCTTTCTCAATATTTTGATGCAGATTCTGGTAAAGAAAAGGCTAAGAGGGACAAAAGCATGCAAGTAGAGCAAGTCATTGTACATCTACTTTTCTCTTTCCTTCCTTTCTGTCTCTCTCTCTTCATTTATAGTACTGGGGATTAAATTTAGGGCTCCATATTCATTCATTCATTGAAGAGAGTCTCAATAAATTGCCTAGACTGGGCTCAAAGTTGCACTCTTCTGGCCTTAGCCTCCCAGAGCACTGGGATCACCAGCATTTGCCACCATGCTGGTGCAATGTACATGTTTAATAAGGTTCCCCAGTTGTGTCTCTCCTCCCCTAAAATGTAATTGAAGTGAGGTAAGAACAACACAGGGTATTGTTTTGTTTTTGCAGTGCTGAGGACTAGACCTGGGACTCCCTGTATCCTAGGCAAGACCTCTTCCACTGAGCTATAACCACAACCCTTTATTATTTCTGAAATAGGATCTTGATAAATACCCAGGCTGCCCTTGAATATGAAATCTTCCTGCCTCGCCTACCAAGTAACTGGGATTACGGGGACTATAGGTGAGGGATTTTTACTGAGCTACACCTCAAGTTATTAAAAAAAAAAAGTACTTTGAGATAGGGTCTTGCTACATTCTCCAGGATGGTTGTAAACTTGTGATTCTCCTGCCTCAGCCTCCTCAGCCACTGCAATTACAGTTATGAGAGCCAGGCGTGGTGGCTCACGCCTATAATCCCAGCACTCAGGAGGCTGAGGCAGGAGGATCGCTGTGAGTTTGAGACCAGCCTGGGCTACACAGTGAATTCCAGAGCAGTCTGAACTACATAGTGAGATCCTGTCTCAAAGAAAAAAAAAAAAAATTTACAGTTATGAGACCATATCTGGCTGTAAAAAAAAAATTTTAAGGTAAAAATATACTCACCTTGGATCAGAAATCACTTAAAAAATATAAAAGCCTATGTTAGTAATAGTTAATTGTAAAAAAATGCTCAGAATATACTGCTACATGAAAAGGTAGGAGAAAAATTTTTCAAAATTAGGGTATGACAGTACGTGCCTGTAATCACAGTACTCGAAGAGGCTGAGATGGAAAGACTGAAAGTTCCAGTCTGGCCTGGGCAATTTAGTGGGAACTTACCTCAAAATAAAAAGCAACAATGGCTGGTGATGTAGCTCAGTGTGAAGGCCCTGGGTTCAACCCCAGGACCACTAAATAAACAGGTAAAAATAAAAAAAAATGTAAAAAGTAGTTTACAAAACATGAATAATATGATCAGATTTATTAAAAAGTATATATACATATATAATAATTATTTTCCAAAAAAATTCAAGCCTCATAGAAAGTTCGGAGAAAAAAAAGAAAATCTGTAGAAACGGGGCAAGATATAATAACCATAGTGCTATAAACCAGAGATTGCCATTTAATATCCTGGTGTGTACACATCTTCCAGTTTTATTCTATGTAACTGTGCCTCACCCCAGTAAATGTAAAATGTGTGCTTTTATAGTCATTAACACTCATCAAATTTTACATACGTGATGTTCTAAAGAGCCAGCTAATTATAGGGTTCAGGACAACTGTGGCTCTCAGTGCTGGCGGATGCACAATACCACGCCCTCAGGGAACTTTTCTTTCAACACCACAGCCAGACTAGACCCCCACCCCTGAAGCACACTCTTGAGGTAGAACCCGGCTTTCACTGTGCACAGGAAAGTACAGCTGCAAGTAAACCACATGGGGATTTCCTTAAACACAGGTTCTAGTTCAGTGGGTCTGGGGCAGAATCTGTTTCTGCCTTCCTGACCATTCCAGGGAAGCCCGGCACTGCTGCCCAGGCCCACACTTTGAGTAGCTCCAGGGCTCTGGGAAAGGCAGAGCTACTGAAGTCCATACTCCCTACCACTAGGGAGGCAGGGACAAACAGTTACCAAAATGTAAAATATATTTCAAGAAAATAAGATCTAGGTCCTGGCAAGCACAAGATCCTGCGTTCAATTCCCGGTACTAGGTAAAAAGAAAAAAGAAAAGATTTTAAGGACCAGAAAGATTCGGAGTAACATCTTCAGAGGGAAAAACATCATTGGGGTTCATGCATTTGTGTGCGCAAAGGAGGGTAAGCAGTCATGAGAGAAGGGAAATGGGCAGTGAGAGAAACAAGCTAGTACGTAAAAACCAGTGAAGAACACAACAAAACACAGCCCTTGGCGCTAGTGCTGGAAAGGTCTGGAGATGCACTATGGTGGGACCTGTACCTTCTGTTTCTCTGCAAAGCAGTTGCTAATAAACCTCAGTGCAGATTAACAACCACCCTCCATCACCCGCCCTCCCGGGACCTGAGAAGAGACCCAGGGGTAGAAGTCTCCACTGGCAGTGCTTAGGGAACCAACAACAAACAGTGAAACGTTTGCCAAAGTGCTTCTCTCTGTGTACGGAGAGCGCCACGAAGCTCAAACACGGGGTCCCTCTGCAGCACCTGGCAACACCCTTCTGTGGATTTCTAAACTTCAGACACACTCATTACACTTCTAACCAAAAAGGGGGGACTTGTCTTTCCCCAGGGGCTTCCCACAGACCCTGGAAATGTGCAAGGAACTTTAGAATAATAATGTACTGGTGGGCTGAACCTAGGGCTTTTGCACTGAGCTACCTCCTCAGCCCTTTCGTTTTTTATTTTGAGACAGGGTCTTACTGAATCGCTAAACTGCCCAGCTGGGCTTGGACTTGTGGACCTCCTGCCTCAGCCTCTGGAGCACTGGGAGTACAGGAGTGCGCACCACCATACCCATCAAGGGTTCCTGCCTCTTGACCTTTTATATACCTGGATGGGTAAAAGACATTTACAAAGAGGCCATGCTGCCTAAAAGACCATTTCCTAATGCAGGTAAGTTTTCCAGGCATCATGGAGCCACAGCACGCCATGTAAAAGTGATCAGCCCACACCGATGTCTAGGGAACAGCTAAAAGGCGTTGGTCTCACCCACATTTAAATGAGTGTTGCCGAACCATCTGGTGTTTGAATGTATCAGTACGAAAAGAGAAATCAGTCTAAGACTGATGTTCCGGTGTCTTTTTCCCAGAACCTCTTGCCAAAGATTAAGGCCAACCTTCCTAGTTTATTAGTCAACAATGCTACACAGGTCAGTTTTGTGTTTTAGGTCCCAGGACTGAACTCAGGGGCACTTTACCACTGAGCTATACCTCCAGCTCTTGTTTTTGTTTTGTTTCTTTTTTTAAATTTTGAGACATGGTCATGGTAAATTGCCCAGGTTGGGCTTAATCTTGTGATCCTCCTGCCTCAGCCTCCTGAATAGCTACAATAATTAGGCATGTACCATTGCACCTGGTTAGTCAGTAATTCTTAATCTGTAATTGTCAATACAGGCAGTCTCTTTCATTTTTAGACCTCTTATTATATAGGTCAGGGGCTGGATTTAAAGTCACTACATAGCTCAGGCTGGCCTCAAATCACGATCCTCTTGCTTCAGGTCCCTAGTGCTGGGATCCCAGGTGTGCACCACTATGCCTGGCCAGATCCTTTGTTATTTGAGACAGGGTCTTGCCCTGTGATATAGCTTAGCTTTGAACTATGTAACCCAGGCTGGCCAGCAGGTTAACAAGTGTCTACGAGCCTGGGAGGAAGAAGTCAAGATGGCAAATCAAGGGTATCGGAGAAGAAGGACTCGGAGTCCAGGCTCTGCCGTCCACTCCCTTCTCTAGGGTGCCACCTGTCCCGATGGCACCTCCCACCCTGACCACTTGTTTCTCCATGTCCTTGTTCTTACCAGAGTGTGCTGTGTAGATGTGTTTGCAAGTCACACTGTACCGACACTGATACAGTATTTGCTTCTCTTCTCGGGGATCAGCAAAAATGGGCACTCAATTAAGTGCTCAACCACACAGGGCATCAGATGCAGGTCAGAAGGGCGATCAGGCCGGGCGTGGTGGCGCACACCTATAATCCCAGCACTCGGGAGGCTGAGGCAGGAGGATCGCTGTGAGTTTGAGACCAGCCTGGGCTACATAGTGAGTCCCAGGTCAGTCTCAACTACATAGAGAGACCCTGACTCAAAAAAAAAAAAGAAAAGAAAAAAAGAAAGGGCGATCAGAATCTCTTCCAGGCTAAGCAACCAGAAAACGAGGCTTACTGAAGAGTGGCTGGGAGGCAAACCAGGGTAACTGCTCATTCAGGGTTCTGCAGGCTGTGGGAAGAGCAACTCCCAAGCAAACAAACCCAAACCGCCACTCTCCCTGAGAACAGCCAAGCCAGGCAGCTGAATTGCAGGTAGAAACGTTAGCTGTTCAAAGCCTGTTCTGCATTAAGTTTGAAATCATGGCTCGGCAGAGCACTTGTAAATTATATATGGGCAGGGCTCTGAGTAATTTCAAGGTAAGTGGGGTTTCAGCCCAAATGGCCGACTAAGCACATAATGACACATGCTGATGCCTACTGTGCAGACCAGAGCAATGCGAGGCAAAGATTCCACCCAAGGTCACGGGTGTAAAGGAAGCCATTCCCGTGGAGGGAGCTGTTGTGGCCACTGGCAGGAACAAAGGGAGCCTGCGGCTTTTCTTTTCCTCCTCTGGCTGTCTTTTTACTCCTCCCTTTATGATCTCTCTCTCAACTTCCCTCCTTGTTCACTACTGAACTTATGTCCTTCTCTCACTCCCACGTAATTAATTCATGTTTGTTTTACTTTCGTATCAGTCCACGTTTGCAGTACATGGAGACTGCATTACTTGTGCAGAGCTGGTACATGTACAGAACACATCTCTATTCTGTTTTCATCCCCTGCCCTCCCTCCATCTCTTTCGTTTGTTTGTTTTTTGAGACAGGGTCTTGCTACGTAGTTCAGACTGGCCTTGAACTCACTGTGTAGCCCAGGCTGGCCTCGAACTCACAGCGATCCTCCTGCCTCAGCCTCCCGAGTGCTGGGATTACAGCATCACACCAGCAGGTCCTTCTATCTCTTAACCCCTTCCCATATGAGGAGGACCTACCTCCCTTCTTCCTATTATCTTTTTTCCCCTTCATTATTCCCCCCTTCATTAATCTTAAATGCCCTCCTTCTAAGCTTCTTCTGCCTTATGATCGGTTATACAGAGCAGGATGTCTTTTGGTACATTCTCTTGCCTGTGAGATAATATTCCAGCCCTGGCAAAGTGACTGTGCTCAGGCAGGGGACACTCGAAATCTAGACTGACTGAGAAACAGTGAAGGCAAGGACATTAGTAACGAGAGACAGGTCATCGTGTGAAACACAACACAGTCTTCTCGCTAGTGGGTCGGACAATGAGACAAATCTTTCTTTTGCTAGTAGGTCCATTATTCTACCGACATGTACAGCTATGTGCCTCAACTGTCAGAAACAAACTAGAAAAGGGACATCAAAGGGATTCTTAAGACCCCCCTTTGCATTTTTATTTGCTCCCCAATCTCCTGATTGAAGAAGAGATAACACTAGGGAGTTTTCCATGGGCCTGTTCCCTAAAAGGCCACAGTTTCTTTCATGTTATCGGCAGAGAGTGGGATAATTGCTTTAAATCCTATCAAAATCTATACTTAGAATCCGTGAACTTCACCTCATTTTAAAAAAATGCTACACGCCAGGCGTGGTGGTGCAATCCTGTAATCCCAGCACGCAGGAAGCTGAGGAAGGAGGATTGGTTTGAGTTTGAGGCCAGCCTGGGCTACACAGTGAGTCCAAGGCGAGCCTGAATTATAGAGTGAAACCGCTATAGTACTCGAGAAATCATCTTCAAATAAGCCTTTAAAACGATAAAAGCAAAGTCAAAGAGGACTTTAGTTTTCAAAAGGGACTTAAGAAGCTGGGTGTGGTGGCACACGCCTGTAACCCCAGCACTTGGGAGGCTGAGGCAGGAGGATCACTGTGAGTTCGAGACCAGCCTGGGCTACATAGTAAGTTCCAGGTCAGTCTCAACTACATAGTGAGACCCTGTCTCAAAAAACCAAAAAAAAAAAAAAAAAGGACTTAAGTACTACAGTATCTAGGGCAGTGATGGCGAACCTTCCAGAGCCTTCAACGATACCAGCTGCAGCATATGTGCCATGGGTCACCACCACCGATTGAGGGGGTTTCTTCTGTTGTCATTCCAAGGCCAGTTACTTCCCATAATTGGGGGGGAAAAGCTAGAGTGAAAAACAATCATCAAGTTTCTGGCTTTTCCATCATCGTGAAATTCGAAACCTACAAATTTGCTAAATAGAAAACAATTCTGAACTTTACAGGAAATATAAAAAATGACCCCAACAACACCATAGCAAGCATAATTCATTTGAAGAGCTGTTTATTTTATATTTCGGTACCGGGGACTAGACTCAGGCCCTTGCACTTTCGAGACAGGCGGCGGCACCACCAAGCTAAATCCCTGGCCCTGAAGAACTGTTTCTTAAACTGAATTGGCGTATATTATTTCACTCAAATTTTGTAACGTCTCTATAAGTCAGATGGGCCCAGCTTTATCCCTGTTTCATGGATAAGTGACCTGCACAAAATTGGGCAGTTTTAAGGAGATTTTCAATATTTATTTAGTGAAACTGTTTCATTCATTAAGCTACTCCACTCAGGTTTCTTGAAGAGTAATCTCTTTTTGCTGATTTTATTTCCTCATCTATTATCCATTTTCTATTCTTTACAGATTAATTTGTTTCCTCAAATACCTGAGTTTTTGAAAGGTCACTAAGATGAGGAGCTGTCAGCAGGTTCGGAAACGTTCACGGAGTGGACGAGATGCCTAGCGTCCCAGGGCATGCTCTGGCTGTCACCCTCCCTCACTCGGGCTCCAGCTCACGCCCCAGCACTCTTCTCTCAGCTTTTGGGCCATCACTTTCCCTCCTCTTGTTATTCTCCAGAATCTTAAAGAGTAAGCTAT